ATATATATATATATATATATATTTGTAATTTTATAAGTTTTGCTTGTTATTTTTAGAGGATGAAAGCTGTGCTTCACAGTAGTTAGGTTGGTCTATAGAAGTCTACTGGTTTACAGCTTTACTCTTCTGACCTCTCTGATTTAAGGAAATATTTAAGAGGTAGTAACCTATGGCTTCAGTGATGGAAGTTTTGTTGTATATCCTTTTCTTATAAAACTTTTTGTCCTTACAGTTTAATTTTCTATTTTTCATCCTAAAATTCATATTTTGAAACTTTTTAATTAAAATAGGAAGGTGAATTTTCCTGGCGGTTATTAAGTATTTGTGGAAGAAAAAAAGACTAGCGCTGCTCCAGCTAACTAAGAAATTAACGAATCATATGAAAGGTTTTTTCTAAATAAAACGGCGCGTTTATGAAGTTTGCAACTGTAAATGAATTACTTCAAAATTAGTGCCTTCCAGTTAAGCTTTGATGGCGAAAAATGAAGGCTGGTTTTTGAGGCTAATTTGGAAATGATTGTTTGTAACATAGTTTGAGAAACTGTGCTTTATTGGTTTATTCAGTTGGTACTTGAGTGCAGGAGAAAAGGAATGAAAGTGGAACCACGAATAAGGTATGAGATCACCAAATCTCAACGGGTAGCACATATCAAATACCGCAGAACTCTGATTTAGAGGTACACAACTGATTTGTTTTTGGAGCTGTTACATTTGATGTAAAGAATGTCGTATTTGACTGGAAAGAAGGCGAACAGGTGGTAGACGTCGAAGACGTCTCCATCGGTTTGCTGAGTCGGTTCTTTGCCATTCTGAGCTGACAGTGACCGTTTAATGGATTATTTATGAAGTTTCAAACAAATTTAGTTGCTGATGGAAGAGAGTAGTAACGGTTAAGGTTAAAAGATGTGTCGACTTGAAAAAGCTGTACATTAAGCCTGCAGATAGAGGATTGATGTTGCTACTGCTTGATAGCGCCATGCCGCTTATGTACAACATCGTGAAAAAAATTTTATGACTGTGGCGTGAAGTTTAGCTGTGCCTACTTTATTTTTCAGTGTTTTCTGCTAAATGTCATTTTTTGGTAATAATTTTCCATGTAAATTTGAGACTTTGATGTTTTTATAATCTTCTGCCTGTTGAACTACTTGCTGCTTTGGCAGATGTGCCTTTCTCATCTGCATACTGACCCGACATGTATTTAGTATGTCGATAACGACGAGATTCGTAATCTTCTTGTACTTTTTCGTTTTTCAGTGGATATTTGTATAAAATATACATGAAACTTGCTGTGTTTACTCCGGGACCGGAAACTCTGCCTCTTTTAGTCGTTTTGCAAATAAACTGTCGTAGAAGCTCAAAAGTCAGGAACTGTTAACCTTCTGTATCTTTTCAGCTGGTAAGGATAACGTTCTAATTTATCTGATTTCTTTTTTTGATAAATAATAGATTTTCATGTTGTTTTGATAACATAGTGTTTCAAATTGATTTTGGTGGTTGGATACAGGTTAAACCAACTGCAATAATTTCTTTATAATGTCCAGTTGTAACTGTAGCTGTGATGAGTATCATGTTTTAATTCTTCTCAGTCTAGCTTGTCTATAATTCGACTCTAACTGCCTGTTGAAGATCTTTTAGATTGGTCGTAAAATTTTCAACTCTACTATTTCAGTTTTTTGAAAGGAGGCACTATTGTGTACCGCTAATTTTTTTATAAATTTCGTTGTTAACGCAACCAAGCAGTTCGATTCTGCTAACTTGTAGAATTTGGCTTCATATATTTTTTGTATTTAATCCTGTATAGTAAATTAAAATGTGTATCTTATTTTGGAACAACTCAACTGTTTCCCGATTTCTGGTGGGCAAATAGATGGAAAATTTTTTTGCTTGTCTAATTTTTATTTCAAATGAGCCGAAGAACAAGTATGGAGTAGAGTACCCGAAGACTTATAATGCACTAAAGTACAAAAAAGAAAAGATGTTCATCTTATGTTGCATTTGTTCATCATCAGTTTTTTTAATGAACGCACTTTACAGAGGAAATTTTATGTGATCATTCAAAAAAGTATCTTCTTTGTTGTGATTACAGTTAGAACGATCGATATTTTAAACCGTCGATGTCTAGTTTGCAATTTTCTGACACAAGCATTTTTAACATTACTGTAACGAAACAGTGCTATATATTACATATATCAAACGTTAGAGAGTAAGATTAAAATTTTGCTTTTTAGAACACTAATTATTCTTTGATTTTGGTAGTTTTTTAATCTGAACTAACAGCGATAAATTTACAAATAAAAAATTCGTCGGAAAATATGTTTATGAAAAAAGCTGATATTTTTTGACAAAGATATGGGTAAGTTGACACAGCGATGAATAAGCACAAGTTGAAGATTCAACGGAACTTATGTTTCATTATAAACAAACTGTATTAAGCATTAGCGATACTGTTCAGAATTGCAAAGATCACCATAATTACAACAGCAAAACTGTACCGGAACACCTTGGAACGTCGTACCTCTACAGGTGTTTTGAGCCAACTAAAAGTATTTATAAGGTAATAAATAAACCTCTAGTCTTGAGGTTATTCCATCAAGAGTGTTGCACAAAAGGCTTCTGTTTTGCAAAAAGACGAATTTTTTGCGTATTTAGCATTTTTGCCCGACGAGTGTTTCTTCAAATTCAATTTGATTTGAAGGAAGACTTGTTTAGCAGAAGGTCAGTTTATCACAAAATAAGTCTTTGTTTCCTTTTCTAATTGGATGTATTTGTCTCATTTTACCCAAGTTGAAACATAAAAGAAAAAAGAAAGCAGAATAAGCAAAAAAAGAAAAAGCAAATTAATAAGGGTAGGGCTTGTAAAAAGTAGTTTTTTTACAAAGTTTTCCGTAGTAAAACAACCTTTGTTCAGAGTCAGACCTTTATTTCGAGTTAATTGGTCTTTTTTTTAATGCAGAAAGTGAATGTTTTGCGGAAAAAGTAATTTTTTTGTAAAAGCAGTTTTTTTTCAACATAGCCTGCTTCGTATATAAATACTGTTAACATAGAATCAACATTTGAGATATGTGGATATTGACAAATTTGTTGATATTTGTAATTTGTTGTGCAGGGAGGATAAACAGTATTATAAATGGAGTGACAGGGTTAAAAAAAATTTTTTTTTTGTCACTGCAAAACAGCATAGCTTGAAATGGCAGAACACTTGAAAAATTGCCTAGAACTTCTGAATTTTTGCCCAGAAACTTCTAAATAAAAACCTTACCATACATCTGTAAGTTGAACAACCAGCTTTTACGACATCAATGATAGCGTATGCCTGGACAGTCATATTGTAGCAATAGGCCGAGTCACTTTCACATTCCTCTTTCTCTCCTCCTAAAGTTTGCCCTCGAATATACTTTGAACCCTAGAAACAGAAATCCCTGTGATTTTCTTTTCATTATGGTGCTTATATTGAACGACCGGTTTTGTTTTGAGCAACATGTGGTTAGTGCTTTTGGTGGTAGCGGGGAAGTTTACAGTTTGTATAAGACTACTTTCGTAGTGCAAAAACCGCTTTTGAATTTTGCTGTACTCTGGACATTTAGGCCCTTCGGCAAAACATTGGGA